CCCCCCCCCCCCCCCCCCAGCAAGTACGGGTATTGCAAACCTGCGTCTCGGCTTCGGCGAGTTGCCATTTGACGTACTGTTGTAGTTTCTTTGCTCGCTGCTTCCACTTGCCGCCGTCCCCGCAATCCGCTGCGCCACCAGCTGTGCCACTGTCGCCGTCGAGGCCATTGGATTCGCTGTCGTTGATGGAAATGTCAGCAAGATTCTCGAACTCGGCTTTGAACTGTGCGAGCCTCTGTATGTCGTACTCCAAGCTGGCCTTTTCCTAGATGTAGAAGGGCAAAATTATACAGCAATAGAATACGTTGGTTGGACGATACAAGCGCACGAAGAATTTTGTGGTGGAACCGGAATTGCACCACAACGCCCAAGGCAACTGATTTTTTGGGTTCTTTTCTTGTTGTTCTGATATTTGTTGTGGTATTGCCGACTGACACTTTCACGCTGTTGTTGCTGAGGTTTGAATACTGCTGCTTTCGGCTACAGTTTGAACGACGGGTTGATTCTGACATGTGATAGGCATGTGAGGGAACAATTTGGTGTCGATTGTCGGCCACGACGACGATGATTTCGATCGATGACAACAGCTAGACTATATCGAAAGGGCCGATTGTTGAAACATGGACCTCCCGAATAGGCAAACGACGATCGGCTGTAGGTGTTGCACCACGTTTCGTTTCGGCGGTGGAAAGTCAGGTTAGGACCGAGATCACCTGCTGGTGTTGCCGCTCCAAACCAGCAATCTTCCGCTCGAACGATACCCTCTCGGCTTCAACCTGTACCAGAGGGACGCTTTCATCTTGCGCCTTCGCGGCGGCCTTTTCCATTTGCCGGTGTTGGTTTATCGGCCAGAAAATGCGTGTCACCGAGGGAGAGAGCATGGAACGGGAATGGGAGCATTGTCATGTTAAGGATAGAGCGGCATCATTTGTTGACGGTCAGTTCTTAGGGTGTCGCGATCAATCCGGTGAGGGCGGCAGTGCGCAGGACGCGCACATGTGCGACTTCAGCACGGCAACAAGCGATCTGTTCTGAAGCACTTGAGGTCTGACACAATATCCAGCGCCATCGAAGTGACGGGCAGGGTATCGATACAGGATTGATGCTCAACGTCAACAAGTGTGGGGTGCGATACCGGCACTAAGCCCAGAGTAGACAAATTTAGTCTCCCTCGTGAACGAACTCATTCTCCGCCTGGACACGTGGCCGGAGTGAATAAGTAGTTTTTTCAACAACGGTGCGGCTGGTTGCTGGTAGATATACTGATGCAACAAACAATAACATGAAGTACCATCCCAATCGAACGTACCTCAGTGATCATAACCTTGTCATTCTGGAGCGCGGCCACTGTCCCCCTGAGGCGTGACACCTCGGCCGCTTCCAGCTCGAGTCGCTCTCGCAGGATCTGGAGGTCGTTCGATACGCCACCTATGTTGAGCTTCAGGGTCGTCCGCTCGATCGCCTCGAGTCGTCGTCGGAGGAAGTTGTTCTCATCCGATTCCACCTACGACAATCAAACAAGATAGGTAAATTCTTGTATTTAGGCTAAATCGAACAGACTACATGGCGTTGCTTGGTGGCAATAAAACTACAGACATACATACGGCAGAGGCTCCAGACTGGTTTCAGTGGAAAGGTAAAATGCGGTTGGAAAGTGACAGCAGTGAGAGTACCTGCATTTTGGCGATCTTCGACTCGAGATCTCTCCGAACTTCTTTGAGGTTTTCGACTTCGAGTCTGATTGAGGCGAACCTCCTGTCGGCGAGCGTCTCTTCTTCGGCGTTTGGGGTCCCCCCGCTGGTGTACGCGCGTTCTTTGCCACCGTCGTCGTTCCTTGCGTCAAAGGACAGAAGGAGAAGGCAGCGAAGATGTCTTTCATTCCACAGCACGCCATGAAGGTTTCCCACAGCGGCATGTACTTGTATAGCGTTTGCGTGGTTCGGCTAGATGCCGTCAGCCTTGACCCATCGCTCCCTAGGTCCAACATGATACAGAACAAAATGGCTGAAAAGTTATCGACACAGGCGACGAACTATTTGTAGTGGAATGTGAGGGAAGTGTTCGAGTTCGCCAGCGACGTGTTCGGGCTGAAAAGCGGAAACACCCCCTTCCCGCCCTGCGCACCGGAAGTCGTCCATGTCCGAGCGGAGCTCGCCAGCCCCCGCCACGGGAACCCTCCTCTCGTCTTCGAGCGCCGAGATCTACATCGGCCGGTGTTCACGGACAGGGAGGGGAGCCAAGGGGGGGGCACGCAGAAAAACGCGTTTATTGGCTCTTTGAGGGAGCACAAGCAGGGGTTGTACAAAAGCAAAGGTCAACCAATAGCGTGGCGCACCGCGTGAGCGCCCGTTGACACCCCGTGGCACGTCTCACTTGTGCGGTAGAAGCATGTGGATACCAAAATGTTGGCGAGAATCAAGATCCCCCGAGAAGTCGCGTTGACCGATGCCGAACGACTGCTTCTGTACTACTTCAAGTGAGTTGGCGCCCTCGCTGTTCTATAGGCAACGAGCCAAAGCTTTAGTTTCGAACAACTTGGTGTCGCTTTTGGGAGTATCAACAAGGCAGTGCGGTTGTCCCCAAACGCGATCCAACAAGGTTCTGCTCTAAGAAGAAATGAAGACGTGCCACACCCAACCGATGGGTGCCGAACTTACGGTAGCGGGTCGCACTGACTAGCTAATAGGTAAGCCGAAGACCATACAGACAAGCGTCGAGTGTGTGCGCCCTGGGAACACGAAAAGAGATAACCATGCATACCTGAACGAAAGGAAGCGTGAATTTGAACGCTGTTATGCCTTTCCGAAGTAGACCGAGTCATTATGTCATTTCAAAAAATCGAGGAGGCCTCGAAGGAACCAGATAATCTGAACCTAGTTGGGTAGACTTTTGACTGCCTTCGTTCTTTTGTTTGGAACTACAAGTTCAGGAGTGGTTGCCGCCTTCCAGTACCTGCCGTTTCAGCTTGGACACGAGCTCTCGATCCTCAGCACTGTCGTTGTCGTCGACCGGATACTCCGCCTGCTCCCCCTCCTGGCGACAAACAAGCACCCAATTAGTCGACGCGGGCGGAAGGTGAACTGGCGTTTGAAGTTCGTGGTAGAGGAACGTGTCGACCATTGATTATTGGCTACTCTACGGAAAGAAGCGACGTTTCAATAAAGCAACGTACAGGTGCAAGTGATCACACGCCCCTTAGTATAGCCCGATACATCATACGTATGGCTCATATCCATGCCTCTTGGTCATGTTTACCGGGATGCATTGAACACCACGGGAGAGGTGCGATTTGGAGTACCGGTGATGGAAGGCAGACTACAGTCGGAGAGAGCAAACGAGAACGGTGACCAGCCTTGTTTTTGGGACGCACAGTTGTGTTTCGGTGGCACACAAAAATATTCATTCGAACCGTATGGCCAAACCCGGTACCTTAGGTGTGTTGCGAGGACCGGGGAGAGGAATGAAGAGATAATGGTATTTAAATCTTGCCGGAGATGCTTCAGCTACACTTGCCCCCATGGTAAAGCAGGGCATGGACAAGCAGCCGCACAAAACAAGCAACAGGACTATCGCCGTGAAAAGAAGAACACGCCCGCGAGGCGGGAAGCCAGGAAAGTTCCATCTCCTGAGACGACGACACCAAACTGAATGGCACGCACACGTCTTGTTTTCATCGGTCCCTCTCGGTCGTCGCGTAAAGAGGCTAGATGAAGTTAAAATACAGATAAACGCAACCACCTGGTGCTCTTCAGGCGGGTTTTGGACCACCCACTGGCCCATCTCTTTCGCCTTGCGGAGGGCAACGGTGTCTTGCTGATATGCGGGCCCTGCCCCTGGTCCGCCGCGGGTCCCTGCTATCTGGCGGGTGCTGAAGCGAATCGCCCCGACCACGGTGCTGGCGGTGTGCCGAAATAATCGGGCGCCTCCGGCGACGGCAGCAGCGTTTTCAATTGGGTGGTCGCGCAGCGTTGTCTCGGCTTCCCGAACGGCCGCGGCGTCCCTTATCCTGACTTGCCCTTCCGACGAGGCGGCTTGCGCCAGGTCGGTCGTCATCACGGTGTTTATTTTCCGTAGCTCGTTTGTCTGCGTTGACCGCGGCAGGGGAAGGCACGGGAACGGTGGCGGCAGGACGTGATGGAAAGGAATGCACGAATGTACGGAAATGAGTGGCTACAACTCATCGTGTGTAAATTTTCTCACCAACGTGACACATGCTTCACAACTTACGTCCACGTGGCGGGGGTGTGGGTGCTGAGCGGGCCTCGGCCTGAAGACAAGCCACATGAAATCCTCGTGAACACCACCAGAATGTTTTGTTGATCTACTACAGCCTCTGTTTTTGCCGAGGTGAGCGGAAACAGTACCGAGCTGGTCTTGTTTACACTAGGGACCTGCCTCTCCGCGAGTGGTGGGACGTTCCGAGAGTCGCATACAATATGTGTATACGCAGCCTCAAGTTAACTTGTGACAACGGGGTTTTATATCTATGCTGTGAACAGTTCGAAAACGAAAGAAGAGGTACCGTGGAATGATCAGACCGGTACATGTGGTGCGAAGAAAATGACAACCATGGCAGCACTTGACAACAACATTTCATTTCTATCCCTCGGTCGTTGTTTCAAATGGAGTGTTAGGCGAATGCTTTGGATGTCAAATATCAAAACGATTAGTTTGCGAAATCTGGCCAACGCGGCAGTTGGAGGGGGAATGCAGAGGGAGCTGGATGTACGTAGTGCCTTTGTAGGACATCGCGCGACGAGTGTCAACCTCGTCAATAAGGCAGCAGATATGTGTGAGGTGAGACCTGTTGTCTTGGCATAGAACGGGCGCAAGAAGGATATAGGTGCGTGGCGATTCAGGATGAAGAGCTTCGCGTGTCAGGGTACGTGGTCAACAGAATCCACCTCCGCCCGAATGTTACTTTGAACTCATTTCGGTAGCATGACGCTTCTCCACACAAAGGTTTTGCCGTTTTAAGGGTGAGTCGGTTTTGGCTCTTGCCCTCTTTCCCGTTGTGAAGAACACACGCCGCATGTATCGACTCAGTGCGTATGGGGGAGGCGGCCGCTCAAGGCATGTACTGCTGGTCCTACCTCCATCCTGGATTGCACCAGCTGGGCCTGCACATTTTTCAGGTCTTCGTGTAGCTTCGGTATCACTTGCTCCATCATCGCCAGGCGAGCGTTTGCCGCCTCCCGGTTCTTGATTTCGTCAGCAAGCTCTTCCTGACAGGGGATGTATCGGGAGGGTAGGGGGGCGGAGTACCTTGGACTAGCCCAATGCATGACATGTTCTGCAGACACCTTCGAGGTCTTCCTACTTGTCTCTTGCCTTGGTCAATAGACCATTGACGGCACGTTGACTGCGACTAACACGGGAGGAAGGCGGCTATTCCACAAAATTCAAATGCCGAACTTCCAGATAGAAACCATCTGTGTGTGTTCCTTCCACCTTCCTACAAAGCATCTGCACGACGCGCCAAAAGCATGCCGAAACATCACACACCAGGTAGGTGACTTGTAGTTCAGCAAGTCCCCCGCCGAAGGACAACTGCATGTAAAACGCGCGTTTTCTTTTTCGAGAAACTTCCGCCATATCGCGCCATATGCCTGACACGAAACGTCTTGGCAAACAAGGGCCCACACCACGAACACAGATACATACAACAAAAAAATGTACGGTAAACAACCTGCGAAACGGACCTCGAGGTTGGCAAGCTTTTTCTTCTCGATAACTTGCATCAGTTTGCTCGCCACGTCGTTCTCGAACCTCTGGCGAGCCTCCTCGTGCCGCAACGTGGGGTTGATCAGCTGCCTGCTACTGTTGTTCCCCCCGTTGCCTTCGCAGGCTGTAAAAGCATTTCGGCCGGTGTTCTGCCCGCTCGCCATGCGGCCGGTGTTTTGCCTGCTGCCTATCCCGCAGCCGGTGTTGTGCGCGCTACCGGCGCCACGCGGCGATACTGCAGCTTCCTGTGTTGCCCCCACGCCGACGCCTCTGCCGGTCTGGCAATCAGGGAGGGTTGAGGCGCCGCCTTTTGAGGCCCCTCGAGGAGACAAACGCCCCCCAGCGTGACCACCGGCGGCGAGCATGTGCCTAGGGGATCTGGGGCTGCCGCTAACCCCGTTCCCCGCTGAGAGAAACGCATGTCGAGACGAGCTTGTGCCGGGGTTGAAGCTTTCCTGGCGCTGCAGCATGTGGTATGAAGGGTGCCGCGAGTTTTGCGCACTGCCGTTGCGCGAGGCGTGCCGCGAGTGTCCCCCCCCACGAGGGCTCCTTCCTCCGCGAGGGGAGTGCTTGTGCGATCTGACGCTTCCGTCCTCCGAGTGGTTGGGTGCCCCGTCTTCTAGCGCCTGAGAAAGCTCGGGACAACAAACAGGGTTTTCGCCTGATTGAGAGCGGAGTATACGATTGAGAGCGGGAGACAAAAAAATTGAAATTTCGGGTCCAGACGCCTCTTGCCATTTCTTGGGAAGTAGAGGGCGGGCTCTTCCAAGAAGCGGCGCAAATTGAAGGTCTCATCAGCAGCGTCACGAGCATATGCGTGTCATCGCGATCGGATGCTGCAGCTAGGAGCTAGACAAGTTGCTAGATTTCCCCACATTGGCTATTCCTGCCTCAAACTGTTTCAGGGCGATTTGATCGCGGGCGGTGAGCTCTGCTGTAGATTCTGCTCCCCGCTGTAGGTCCACAACGTGAGACGCCCACAGGATGACCAGGATATCGGCTTGTAGCTACGGGCTAGGCCTTCAATTCAAGTCACGCAGCAAGCTCCACCTCTCAGCGGTAGTTCAGCTACAGCGCATCGCACAATCTCGCTCTCAATCAGAAACTTCGCTCTCAATCACACGAAAACCTTTTTAACAGTAAAATGGCGTGCAGGTGCATCTTCGTGAGTGAGTGGCATCAGGATTGGTGCTTGGGTGGTTGGTAAGCCCGTTCAAGGGCCGGATTGGGGTAGATCTACGCGCGAGTACAACCTCGAATCACACATATTTCATGCGCACGGAGAGTTAAACTGTGTCATGCTCCCTGAACTATCCACTTCTGGTGGAACCGACGCTGGATCTTGTAGAATGAGACCTCTCGTTCTTCACAGACCAATATTGTAGGAGCGCGATCTTAAGGCACGTCTTGGTCGTAAGCATACTAGTGCCAGAGAGTGGGTGGAGGGCGGGGAGTCAAAGGGTCATAACGTACTTCATGCACAACAACAACAGCAGTACTTGTCATGCGCTTCTTTTTAAGGCCAACGTTTGAGTTGGGAGGGCACGACGGAGCCACCAGTTTGTTCCCTTGCGCGGTGCTCGACCGAAACGAGACTGCAGGTGTTTTTTCTAAGAGTGCTCAAGGAACAGCCTCCTATCCTCCAGGAACTACAGGCTTGATTTTGAAACCTGCGTCCCTAGATGAGGCCCAAAACGTGCGTCTCATGGACCGGTAGGGCCGCACATCTTCAGATAGGGACATTGTTCCCACTACCTCATTTTTCCTGGGATACGCCTGCCCCTTCATGCTGCCCGTCGAGCACGTTATTGCACGTCGATCTCGGCTTCAAATTGCCTAGCGTGTCGAAGAAGACCTACCTAACATGCTCCGCTCCCGGTGAGCTTGTGAAGGTGCACAGCAGTGCACAGGTCTGTGATGCGAGCACACTTTGGCCATGAAATTTGCAGGTGCAACCCGTCGTGGGGTGCGCTCGTGTAACCCCGCCTGGAAAAATGACATTGCTCCCGCTCGTGTTGAATGGGCATACACTCATACCGTTCGGAACCTCAAAGGATCTCAAATGGATCTCAAAAGGCTACCGAATGGATGTCGGGCCCATCGGGCCCAACGCCAGAGACACAAGGGCATCCTGCCTACCTCGATATAGCGATGTGCCTGAAGAGCATCTTCTTCGGCTTGCATCTTTTCTAGCCGTAGCACTTCTATGGATTGCTCCAGCTGATAAGGCAAAGGGGGAGAAGGAGAAATCGCGAATCATAGGCGGGTAAAGTGGGTAGGAGGCGCAGTAACGAAAGATGGGGATCGAGCTGCTCCTCATGCTTGGTTGTCAGCGAGGGAGAGGGCACAGAAACGTCATCGAGCCGTACACGTGAACTTGTGTCCTCACACAGCCTGTCCGAACCCAGAAAGGGAGAAAAGCAACCAACCAGATTCAGCGATGTGTTCTGGAGGCAAGTTTGCGGCTCGATGCAACCGCCGTCAGCAGGTGGGTTGGGCCGATCGTGATACCATCCATTATCTTCCTCTTTGACGATTTTGACCACTCCCGCAAGATAACACAACGACTTAACTTTGTACTCCATGTTTCATAATCCTTCCGTTCAGTTGTTTTAGGCCGGGTGGCCTACCTAACCCGATAAGACTATGGAAGCACTTCGCCACTTATTGTTTCGGCGGAGATACAATAAGATAACAACAGGCGCAATCAGTACTGACCTCTCTGCACTGCTTCCGTAGGGTGGACCTCTCGAGTTGAAACTCTACCCTCAGGCGACCAACCTCTTCCTTGTACTGACCACGAATCTCCTTCGTTTTATCCTCAAGGATACACTTGTCCAGAAGAATTGTGTCCTGTTGTCGTCGGCAGACAACAAGCAGCACCAGGAGCGAGGCGTGACAATCATAGGTGGATCGGATCACAACCACATTTCATGGACAAAGAGCGACCCAACAACTCGTCGAAAGCCAAGTCGTCCCTACTGGTGTAAGAACTGTTTACTACCGGGTTGGCCCCCCACCTTGAGTTCGATTCTGGAGGCAGCACGGTTGATGTCGATCTTTTCTCTGTATCGCCGCTTCATCCATCGGAAGTGTTGCTTGGTCGACGCAGCAGAATCTTCCAGGTGTCGATCAAAAGCGCTTACCATCTCATCAATCGTTTCCTTCATCCTGCGCTCTATTGTAGCGCGTTGGTCCTGCGCCGTTAGTAGCAGAGCCGTCATGAATGTTGAATCTTCGTGAAGTTGTAGCAGTTAGCTGATGCATCCGAACAACGAAAATCACAAATAACACGGATGTTTCTTGTGCAAAAGAGGTGGATACGCCGATTTCTCTCATCCACCCGGCACGGCCGAATACGTGCGCGCGACGAAACAAATGGAAGATACCCATACTCCAAGGGTTCCCGCAGCACAAGACGCGTTCAAACCTGGAAGGCTTTCGCTACGGAGGCGAGACACTGTGTGTCGATACCGGCTAGACGGAGCTCAAAGGCTTGCAATTGGCCTCGGTCGAGCCCGCTTGCAGCCTGTTGTTTCAGCCACGTACAAGCCTCGCCGGACAACTCCGGCTGGACCCTCTATACGCGAAGGTTACGAAGGGGTTGAGGTTGGCGAGCGGAGGCATGAGAGTGAGGGTCCTGGTTTTCCAACGCGTATCTTCGATAGATGCAACTTGCGTTGCTTCCAAGAGGGGACGAAGTGCATGTCACCGAATGGCCGGCACATGTCATCCTTTTCCGCTGCTATCCCTATGGGTAGAAAGTAGAGCGACTTTTGATGGGCCAACTCGCGGGCTAAATAGGCACATATTTGCACCAAGATTTTGAAGCATGCGTTTCTCTCCTTCGGCGAGCCTCTCAAGTTCACGAGAGCATTCGGGATGACCATGATGGGTGAAAAGTCGAAAATGTGTCCCGTCGACATCACAGAGATCCAGACTTGCTGCAACATTCGTCGGTGAACGACTTGAACGCCTCTACGGAAGACGTCTCTGGCTAACAAAGTATGTTTGCGTCAAGATTCCAGCGAACACAACACTCCATGAAGCAATCAACAACGTGCTAATATACCGGAGTCTCGTGTTGCTACGATTTTCAGCAATGTGCCGCACACAGAACACACAATAGCGAAAGACGGGCATCTACCAAGGCTAAAGAGCAGTTTTTGCCCTAGTTTTCAATTTTCCACTCTCGAAAATGACGCACATACCTGGAGCTGCTCCGCGACTGCTCTTTCGGTGTCCTGAACGTCGAGCACTAAACACCGCAGAACTTCGCCAGCTGATTCTTGGAGTAGACCCGAGGCAACGTCAACAGAACTTGCTATCCCATTCATCATCATGCGGCAGTGGGTTTCCATCGCTTGTGTTGTTGGGGATTGTGATCGACGACTGTTGGTGGTTGTCGTCTGACCTCCTTCCATTCCCCTGGCTGCTAATTGGGTCGGGCCGGTGGTGTATCGCAGCGGTGAAAAATGATACAAGGGCCAAATGGAATAATCATTTCCACAGAAATTTGTTCCAATGATACTTTTTTGAGGTATATGTTCACGATGCACACGAGGCGGGGGACATTCGTGACTCTGAGCAACACAGCCCTGGGAAATGAAGTCGCCAAGTTGAATCACAGCGACAAACGAAACATCTGTAGTACTAAGCCAAGCTACAGCCTCCACCATAACCATAACTACAGTGAATGGCTCTCTCTTGCTGTCAACAAGATCTTAGCGAATGACTACCTGAAGAGCGTGCTTGCGCCACTTGCTCGTGGTTATCCTTGCCCTGCTCCTGAATACGGGGCTCTTGGGCTTCCGTAGCAGTCGTAGATGCGGCCAACGCACGATCACTGTGGTCATCTTCGCTGTCACTTACGACGTCGTCTTCGACCCCGAGAGTAAACAGCTCGGTGAGTACAAGACCAGCCTCGTTCTCGTCCTCCGTCGCATCAATCTGTAGGTACATTATTTCAGCATCAGCAACAGCCGTAGGGCGAAGCCCAACGTGCGCATCCACATGATAGAATATAACAGTACTAACCAACACTCAAGAGATCTCGGAGACGTATTGAACGCTGTGACCAACAGTACTCTGTCCTCTCCACATCAGCCTCGTCATCAAAGCACTGGACATCTACTTTGTACAAGCCTCAGCACGAGCTTGTTTGTCTCAAGTTCCCTATGAGCATGTCGACTCCAGATTACGCTCTCGGTGACTAAAAGTTTGGACAACAATTTACACAAATGTACCCACTCGAGATGATTCCCAAAGTGATTCTCAAAGGTAAAGACTATGTTGTTGAAGTATTTTCAGTGAAAATTGAGTGATGCCTTGTGGAAACTGGACCTCATTACTGTGTAGTTTGCTACACTACTTGCCGTTGGTTCATTATCGCCAGCTGTCAATAATGATGCTTTGTCGTGTTTGATGTCGGTGCGCTCCTCGAGCCGCTGCGACGTCTGCTCTCGGCTAACGTCCTCGCCCCCTGCGTCGTTTTCATTCATGCTCGTCCGGGCATGAGCATCCGCAGAATGAGCAAGAGGCAAGACCGCAAAGGGCAGGAGGAAGAACGAAGAACGCAGTCACTCTGTCGCGCGGCAAAGCGGTGGAATACACGCGGCGAGATTGTAATCGTTTCGAACTTGATTGCGCCGCACTATGTACTCCTGAAATGGTAAGGAGCACGGGGAGAAGGAGACGAGGCAGTGGAAAGCCGGGGTGGGTGAGGGGGGTGGGAGTTCGGTGCAAGAGAGAGCCCCACTCAACAGAGGCTGTTGGGCATGTAAAGGTTGATGTCCCATTCTGTCAAGACGCTTGATAGACTGACGATACCAAATTCTACATCCTGTCAACGGATTCGATCTACTGCTGTGCATCGTTAGCCTAGACCCGGGTCTCTATTTGCTGCTGCAGCATGGAAGATTTGCGCGACACATACCTCCTACACCAAGAATGGTTACAAATCTACAACTATGCGAGCCTCAAGTACGAGATCAGTGGAGGAGACCGAACGAAGTGGATGCGGTACATGGTCCAACAGAGGGTACGTCGACGTTAGGCAGCCTATCAGAGAATGACTTCGAGGGAGTGGTGGGCGCAGTGTTTGGTTCCTCTCCGATTGTACCATCACCACGACGCTTCTCCATGGAGGACATGGTAAGAGTGGATGATAAAAGCTTGGGCTTGCTCCAGGTTTCGTCACTCTGGAAGACTTCATTGCCGCACATCAAACGTGTCGTCGAGACAGAGCGTTTATTGGCATCGACAGAAAAGGCTAACTTCGTCGCGAGGACGTTCAGGCAACGGCCGGGCGTTGTCTATGCTGTCAGGTACACTCTTTGGAAAACGGTGTTTATCGCAATGATTTTGTTGTTCTGTGCTGTGCTACAGATCTTCCGGAGGGCGTTACTCAGTGCGTGATTGCTGTACTGTTAGTGATGAAATCTCTCCTCTAAGACTAGACTATATCATCCTGCCACGCTTTACGTACAACAACAGCGCTCATTTTGTTCGGACCGGTTTGTACAGGTATTGGGAAGGACTGGCGGACACTACCGTCCTGACATTAGTGCTGAAAATCATTCGAAACATGTGGTGCTCGTCTACGCATTCGATGTGCCAAGTGAGTTCAAATCAAGGCGCAACGAGATACCAAGATGGTAACGACGACGGCCACGACCGAGCGACTTCGGAGGATGCACGTGAGGCACGCCACAAATCACTGGAGCCACCTGAAGCTCCAGTCACCGCTTCTGTCGATCAACAACGTGTTCCTGAGACGCCCGTGAACGATATGCGAGGAGACTATCGAGGCCAGGAGATTCAGGGAGAAGGGCTATCTCCCAAGGTGCCACAAACGGTGGAGGCAGACGGTGCATATCGTGGTGCCATAGGAGGTACTCAGTCGGATAGTGCCGAGATTGGAGGTTCTACAACAAGAGACGGTCCTGCTGGTTCAACATCTGAAGCTTCGGTTTTACTACCGGAGGATACCCTTGGACAAGGGTGCACCCCAGATCACCGAAGCTCTCAATTGCGGATGCTTGGATTTGCGGCGAAGCTAGACTCATCGTTGAGGAAGGCAAGCGTAGCTCTCGTTTCTGAGTGGCCAGGCATCGGTTCACTACACGACTTGCTTTCAGGGAATGTCCAGATTGAGCCGCGGGCTTCTCAGGAAGATCTACTAAGGTGGACGCGGCAGGTTGCCGAAAGCCTATTACATGCAAGCCGAAGCGGCTCTAGTGATGGCTGTGGCGACGGAATGTCGCTGAGGATCTCTACAAGGAACGTGTACCTGTTTCGGAGGCCACGGGATGAGCTCCAGGAGGGTGCTGATGTGTTAGATGTTAGGGTGAGATACGTTCGGCAACCGGTTGGAGGGTAGAACAATCAATCTAACCTAGGTCGCAACCGGGAGAGACTTCTTGTTTCAATCATAGAGAATTACAGCTTAGGCTAAAGGAAGGTGCGAATTGCAATAAAACTGAACTCTTCCAAGCTAAATCATAGTTTTGTTCACCTGCTGCATGAATCCACAACCACACACCGCCGCCGAATCAAGCTGTGCCTAGTTGTTTGTCTAGCCTTATCAATGATACGACCACCGTTTCTATTTCTGGAAAGGTGGCGGCGTTTTTTGGAGGGTGTTCGATGCCCGGCGTAAAAGGGAGCTATGAGGAACAAGGAACACCATCCCGTTGCGTGTTGCCGCCGGAAACAATCTGGGCAACACCCGACGCAGGCGTATCGACAAGCCCGACCAAGTTCCCAACAGGGAGGAGACAGACCAATTTTGATAGGGAAGCTGCCGATGTGTGGGGGTTTGGAACTTTTGTCTTCGAACTCGCCACAGGACGGGTAGCAGGTAAATGAACTCTTTCGCCAGGGTCTTAAAGTAGTGTGTTGCAGAATATCATTACCGTACCGTGACTGTTCCATGTGGAGCGTTGACGGCACGTTCCTCCTTTTGTTAGCTCACCAGACATACAAATTCGTCGCTCGCACTCGCCTCGCAATTTACGCCGCCATTGTGGTTGAGAACGGAAGGGCATGGTAATATCATGAACGAGGCTGGGTGGTCGACATGTGAGTGTTTTTGGCACCCTCGTAGTCCGAACCTTGTGGGTCGCTGCGAGCCTTCCAATCTAGCTATAAGGGGCAGACTGTCGTGTGTCTCCGAACGTCGGCCATTCCGTTAACGGCCATTCCGTTTACACTCTAGCCACCAAAATGTTTTTAAGTCCAACCTAGGCCTTCGTTCCATCTTTTAAAACGATATTTCACTAGCAGGTCCGGTTCCCCTAGCCTTCCGACAGCTGCGAGATCTTCTCCGTGACGTGCCCATTGACCCTCGCTTCATCTATGGCGACATAGCCCGCGGTGTAATGCGGCTTGCGCTGAAAAACAAGCCCGGACGGAGGGCAAGGGCGTGCGAGATTACGGCTGCGGTGGAGCAAATTGCGGCTAGGTACCCAATCCGAAGAACCGTATGTCAAACTGGTTTCCATTTGCCAGAGGCACCTTAGAGTTCCCGAACGCTACGCAACGTCGCGTATTTTTCGAAAAACTTGACCGGTGGTGTTCGATATATTGCGTGCCTATTGATAGCTATATCTTAGATTAACTTTATCAGTTTTTGGAGCTTAAGATTCATGATGAACTCGGAAAGCCGCCCTCTCACCACCGCGTCCAAAGGTGCCAAATGTGAGCATAGGTCGGATACTAGGGACCCTTCAAACTGCTTTCAACGCAGGAGATGCCTGCAGATTCGATGAAGCACTGAGGGGTGCCGACAAGGTGTACATTCTCTGAAAACGGTGGTGCACCTCGACCCGACCACTTTGCAGTGCTTCATGATACTTTCATACGCGAAGTATACCTCTTGCGCCAGATATACCGCCGGTTGCGTCGCCACTGTCGACGTTCCCTCGATCTCCAGCAGCTCAAGAAGCAAACAGTCATGAACCTCTCGGGCCTTTCGCTTCTACCTACAATACTACACCTCCATTGTTTGTTGGTAAATGCAGGACACTACGACGCGCACACATGGCACACGATCGAATCAGTCGGCAACGCCGAGCAGTAGTAACAGCAGCAGCAGGAGCCGGGACAACAACTGGGGAGAAGGGAACAGACCAAGACGATGGCTACGGCCTAGCTCTCGCCCAGTGGAGGATCAACGAGGCAGTCGAGCGGGCCGGAGGCCGAGCGAGGGCATTCCTTCGACAGCTGTGGTACGTACGCGTGTCTTTCTTTCTCCTTGTAGGAGGATGGTGTCGCTTTGGTTGGAGTGGAAGCTGGGCAAGGACCATGATTATGGGATCTTGGACGAGCGTAGGGTCTGCTCGAGAACTCCAGCTGGCCAGCAAAAATGTTGAGAAATGGGGCGTGAAGACTCAAAACCGTCATTTTAATAGAAGTGCTGCAGACAACAGGGTCTGGAGAGAATGTCATGGATCAGCCAGACATGCATGACACCTCGTAAGGACATGTTCATACGTTTGAATAACCTTTCCACAGGTTCAACTCCCTCACAGAGGATGACAAGCGACGGATCAGGCACAGACGTCGACATCGGAAGGTGTGGACGCTCTTTGCCAGAGTGGGGGTAAAGCCTGAGCAACGTAGATCAAGCTTGGAATCTCGTCTGGTTACCTCAATGCAGAGAGCCTGTTCATTGTTGTATTAGACATGAGTTTATTTGTTGCCGTTGTCACGAGCATTGAAAGTTTAGACGACGTGCCGTGCAGAAACCATTGATGCTATCAGAACATTTGTGGAACAAGCACCAAATGAACTGCATTCTATCAGGCGAACCGGGAAGCCAGAGAGTGGAGAGGACGGCGCGTACGTGCGGCAAAGTTTCACCATTGGACACCCGTCGAGGTGGCGAGCTGGATCTCCCATCTTCTCCGGAAAGCAGAGGTACAGAGGCCGTCGCAGAGAACAGGAGGGCATGGTGTTTGGGAGCATGGGCTGCTCAAGGCTGATCGTGAAATGTACCGCAATTACAGAAGGAAACACAACGAAATAGGAAGTGTGAGGATATAGGTCGCGGCACACGACCGTACCAAACCGTAGTTTTGTGTGTTTAGAACCTCATGATGCTCACTCGCCAACGAATGAAGTTCTTCGGGGATTAAAAAGTTCTCGTTTGAAACTTTTCAAAAGACGAAATCGGCGTGCGTCAAAGCTTTGGTTCGCCAAGGCTCAGCTTCCGCCGGCGTTGCGTTGCAAGCCATTTTTCCCTTGCTTCTACGCCTGGCACCTGAGAACGCCTTTCGGCTGTTGTTGTTGCTGGTGTTGCCGGATTTTCGCCCGTTCCGTGCCCTCTTGGCCCTGTTCCGGAAAAACGAAAAAGACATCGGGGAAGCTCCCGCTCCTCGTCTCCGGTGATGCCAAGGGTGGTACGACTAGCATGGGAGGAGACGACACCGGCCCAGGTGCTGCGGAAAATCGGGTGATCAACCCTACAGTGGAGAATGCGCAAGAGAGCGGTACTGCAGCCAACCCCACACCGGAGGAAGGGGGGGGGGTGGTCGACTCTTCCGATACCACCCCGGTGAAAACGGAAGGGTCGTCGTCACCAGCAGCAGCACCCCCTTGTGATTCCGCTCCCTCTCTAGCCGAAGAAGTGAAGAAATGCTCCGGTGTACTCGTTGACGCTCAAGACAGCAGTATTGCGGGCGTTGGTCAAGCCCAAGGCGATGATAACTATGAAAAGAACACCGACGATGGTGGCCATGGGAACGTCAACAACAAAGACGACGATGACGACGACCTTAGCAGTAGTGTCGACAACAGCAACAACGGATGGGCTGAAGTGGAAGCTGGGGAGCGCACGGGCTACTCCGGAGCCGCGGTGGAGCCTTTTGCCGTCAAGGAAGGAATAAATGGGTGCTGCATTATGGAGGTTTGTGGGAATGCCGAGCAAGTGGGGATAGAGGGGCAGCGGTAGAATCACACAAAGAAGCGCCCGCGCCCACGAGTCGCACGGGGATTATCACTGTTGACGCTAACAGCCCATGAGATGTGTGATGGTCTTCTGATAGAGGTCTCACGATGTTGAAAGTTGGTTCTACTACCACAGTTCATTTTGCAACCACCAGCCTGCTTTCGTGCCTTTGCCGCAATGTTCACTTTTTCTTGTACCTGCATCAGCCAGAGGTTGCCGACGAGGAGGCAACAGAGCGTTTTTTGCGGGTACATACATGGTCTTGCTACTCGCCCCTTTTGCACCAGTTCTTGTGTAGCCGTTCAAGTCCACAGCTCCATGTGCGCTCGCTATCAGGCTGACCACTGTGGGTTAACGAAACTGTCAAACTCAAACCTTGGCTTTAACCCGGCGGAGCGATGTGATTGAGAGCGGAGGTAGCGCCGAGCTGCAGGGTTTGTGCTAGACCGAATACAGCAAAGCGGCTTTGTGCTCGGTGGCCTCAGGCAATGGAAGACGCGTTGGGACATACTGAAGACGCCTTGACCCGGTTCATCAAGAGCTCGACGAGGCTGGCACGCCCTGCCGAAGTCGAGCAGAAGAGGGTAGAGCTCATGGTGAGGGAGCTGCTGACGATCCGGCCGTACTCGACGGCCAGCCAACTCAAGCTCAGGTCAGGGGCATGAATGCACGTCGTCAGCGAACCCGACGAAGCGCCACTACGATATATGCAGCGAGCAGTCCCAGACTCAATTGTTGCTAGTGTGTGTGGAGAAAGACACGTATGTACTCTCTGTGGTTTAAGCAAGCCTGAATTACTGGCTGCACTTCCTCCTTGTTGTCAAGTTGCCTTCTCTTCTTGAATTCGATAGTGTTGGTGCTTACTCGTACTTGTAACTCTCGTTGGCCCTGCAAATGTTGTCCGCGGGGGTAAACATAAAATTCCATCCCCCATCGCGCTCCCTGCACACAACAAAAACTTCACTGTGCCGCAAACTTGCCAAGGGCGTTAGGCGTCGTCATCGTGCGAAGCGCTGAGGCTCCCCGAGATCTAACCAACGACGAAATTAACGCGCAGCTGCCGTTGTTGGCAAGAGTTTTGACTGCGGGTTACCGGCGTCAGGTGAGACGGCCAATGGTTCTTTGGGGACTCTCAAGCAGCGTGTGAAACATTCCTGTTCATTTTTATCGGAACCGGTACATCGACCGGATCGAGAGAGAAAGAAGGCGTTCGGTAACATGCGAACACGATCAACGGCTCTACGTAACCGAACGGCTGTCGTTCCTTGCTTTAAACGTCCGCATTCCACCTCACCCATTGCAAAGCTCACACGTGTGTCCTATTCCACCATCGATCGTCTGAACCAACGATTGGGTGCTATATTGTTGATTGACTACTTCATTTGCCGGCAAGTAGAGTCAAGCAATCCTCTCTACACAAACAAACAGTGCACGCAACCTGTGTCTGCCGGAATCAATTATACTTGGTTCAAAGGCGGCAATGGTCGAGCAAGGGTTAGAGTTCGCGGCTGCGAGGATCCAGGGCCTGGCCAGGGGCAAGCACATCCGCAGGGTTATGTCTTCCATCTGGCAGCAAGCCAATGAGTATGCCCGGAATATCGTCCAGGGGGAGAGAGAGGCTAGGATGAAGAGGGAGAAAGCGCAAAGGGCCAAAGAGAAGGTGTGGCTAGGGTCCCTAGCGTTGTGCTCCTCTCGACGGGAACTCGATGAACAAAGTGGATATACATGTCGACAAACATCTACACTACTACGAAAATCATGCTATTTTATGTATTCCACATTTCTTGACTGCATTTACGAGAAAAAGAGGGGCGGGGGTACGGGTTCAGTCCCTCCGCGAAGCGGGTGGGGGCAGCGAAGGCGTGCACGTATCTCAGCAATCCAACTTTGTTGGTTGGTGTCAGCTGGAAAAAAAGAGCTTGATCTCCGTCGTTTCTCGCTGAAGAAGTCGAGAGCCCGGAGCTTCAACGTGCAAAGACATGCGCTACCTTTTTGGTATTGTTCATTGTTTTTTGTGTGATCTCGGCAGGAGGAAGCTTTAGATCGGGAGAGAGAAGAGGCCAGGCGGTACCGGCTGCGGTTGGTACCACGGGCCTCCTTGGTGACCTGCAGGAGCATGAGCGTGTCCTTGCCGCTGTTTCTTGTCGCGGCAGCCCGGGGGGTCAGAAGGTGGCAGGAACCTTCCCCACAGATTTTTACATGAGTTGTTGTTGCTAACAGCTGATGCTGTTGCTGTTGCTATGGTTGATGACGTGGTTGTGATCGTTGGTTGTCCAAGTTGATGCCTGAACTCGTGTTCTTAGAGCAACACTACTGATCGGGATGCTGCGGCGTGCGCAGGGAAGGATTTTCTACCGCCCGCGAACCACAAGTAAATTCCGGCACGAGGTTTCTCCTGAGCAATCAATCCCGTATCCCATGGTCGATTGTTCAAAAGCAAGTTTTCAGGGCAAACATTTTTGCGGTGGGCTCCCATCATCAGGCCATGCCAACCTACACGACATGAGTATTTCCCCTCGCCTTCGGCCCTGCCCTCCTCCCCCCATAACGGACTCGGACCCAACTACCCGCAACAGGTTCCTTGTGGTGGAAACGACCGTCGTGCCCCCTCCTGCGCTCCCGCACAACCCATCGCCCTTTGCGCACCGGCCGGACCAGTCGAACAAAGTCAATACAAACGAGGATGACAGAGAAAACGAGGCTGGAATTTCTAGCAGAGATGTAGGCGGGATACCGGAAGGAAGCGGCGACGAAGGCTGCGGGCACGTCCGTGTACTGCTAAGACAGGTCGGTGCGGGAGAAAATGAACGGAGAATGTGAGCGTATTGTAGACACGCAAATATCGAAGAAGCCGGACGTGAAAGTGCAGAGAGTGCTCGCGAAAATTCCACTCTTCTTTGAGCGGATTGTTTTCCTCCACCCTAGTGCCGTGTAATTTCGCAACGATCGTGTGTGGCTGAAAATAGCTCTGTGGCGAGGGTATGCGCCTTGTTTCTTGCCACAAGAGGTCAAAACAGGCTGTGCGGTCACGTCATTATTTTGCCTGGTCCACAACAAACAGACACCTCCACTCCCCCTCGGAAATCGCGCACCTTGCAAGGGTGCGGCCGTGGAACTCGAATCGCCCCCGAACAGCAGGTTTCTCGCCACGCAACCACCGCAATCTACGACGACCACGACGACCACGACCACGACGACAACAACACCGGCAGCACATGCGGCAGCAGGAACAAACGTACGCAAACGGACTGGAACGGGGAATGGCGGGGCAAGAGAGGAGGCTTTCCAAGGACCTAGAACGTTCTTGCACGCGGTGGGAACCAGCCTGTCACTTTCCGAGCTTCGCCCGTGCACCACGTACCGCCTGGCGCTTGCGATTCCGCCAGTCATTCGGAACGAGCTCCTCGAATCTGCAAGGTGCGCGGTCGGCACCATTGTCCATTGGATGTGCTTTGGTAGTGAAGGGGGTACGTACGTGTACATAACCACACAGAGTGTCTCTTGTTGTGCCGGAATGATCAGAGGCCGGAAAAAGCGATGTTTCTTTGCAGGGGTAAGTAACAGCCGATGAACGCACAGCGGAGCCTGCGTGTCGCTGTTTGCGTAGTGCATGGGCTTCACTTCACCACCCGGCCACCACGTCACATTCGCCAACGACTTGGAGTTCCACCACCAAGAACTTTCGATGCCGCCTCGTTCCAAATGATCGGGTGCTAGTAGTGTGTGTTTGCAAAGTGCCCCGTCGAGATGAACAAAGCCGCCCCTCCACCCCTCCCGCACCCACTGTGTCTTTGTTCACGGAGTATTTATCGCCAACGCCGTCGCATCGCATTCTGTCCTTGTTGTCCACGAACTTTAGCCCACCTTCCCCATGTCCTTGCCTGTCCACAAACTTTGGGACCAGGTCGCTAGGAGTCACGGAGGCCATCCGCTCCCTCGAGACATCGACGGAATCTAAGACAAAAGACAACAACGGTGTCAGCGACGGTGTTAGTGGCGGGGATAGTGGTGAAGGTGCAGAATCCACCTCAGGGCACTTGGACGTGGAGACCCTCCCTGATGTCCCCGGCGAGGTGCCACTATTGAAGTGCAAGGTATGAATTCCCCGATACTGCTGTTGCATTGGTAGTATCAAAGGGCAAGCGCATGGTGTCCACACGTACGTGCCGTGTTGCTTAGCTATTGTGTGTCTGGTCGGGTGTACTCTGTCTTTACTTCGGCATTAACTTGATATTTTTCTTGTGAGCAGCAACGAAGTTGTTGTGCGATACAACCATACTACCAGGAGGACATGTGCATGCACTGAACTTCGTCCCTCATTCTGCCCCCCCCCTGTTGCAGTAATGGCCTAAAGTGTAATGATTGTCAAACGGCCAGGAAAACCAATTATCGCGTGAGCATACCCCGTGCCACAACGACCCTTACGAAAGATACCAATTCACGTTGTCATTTCGGGTTTGCCATGAAGGGAAGAATGGCTACCGTTTCTACGTTGCGACGCACCCCGAGAGTAATCCCTGCCAGGGGCGAGCAGAAATTCAAAGTTAAAGTGTTCGTGAGTACGTCGATACGCCTCACCCGTCCGTTTCCGTCGTGTGCGTTTGGTAGGTCCTCACGTCGGCCTCCGCCGTCGATCCGCGCGATCCATCAGGCGTCCTTTCGTTGCGGCGGTGGCAGTCACCGTACCCTGCAATTGCAAGTGAGTATACATAAAGATTGATTACCGCGACAACTCCATCCCTTGCAGAGCAGATGTCTCTTATCTCTTCCGACATGTAGGGAGGTTGATCTTCAGGAGAGTCTGATGATCTTATCGCAGTCAAGCGTGTTGATTTGAGGAGGTGGTGCACGTGTTCGTCATAACGAAATTGTTCCTGAGGGTTTCCGCAAGGGGTCGACTATTGTGTTTCCGGCCCTGAGAAGAGAGGGGAGTGGCGTCTTGCGGGCAGTAGGCACTCAAGCTTTGCTTCGCCTCAAGATGACGCTTGTTTGTTGCGCAGGACTCGCCATCATACCTGTGTATCCCCAACATACGTCACTCTCCGCCTCCCTGCATGCGTGCCGTGTCTGTCGACTTGGGCTACTCAGACATGGACGGTCCTGTACCCGAGGACTTTGTCGTCCTTGCCCCGGGTCGCCCTGAACCCGTGGTTTCTCTCCAATGGCAGGGCCCCGAGAATAACGGGCTCGATATCTGCAGGTATGTTGACTTGCAACGGTGTAGCAGTAGTTCATCCCCAGCCCCGGAGCTTGATTCGAAGGAGAGCAGGAGTTGGTGATCAGCACCAACCTGTTGTGTAGTCTAAATACCGGAGACGCCAATGAATAGCTGATCACACTTACAAAATGGAGGATTCTATTTACGTCACCGGTGGCGTTATTTCTTATATACGTCACCGCCCGTATCTCAGCCCCCAGAGCTTCAATTGGCACAAAATAAATTGCGTTGTGTAGCTATGACCCACACCAATCATACAAGTTTTTCAACGGTCAAATCCGATGAGTGGTTGCGGCGATTTGCTCAAAAGGGGGCTCAGTAGTATGATACTGCATCTACCACAAAAAAATCCAACTGTAACTTCGCGCAGAGAGCTCCGATCGACACCAATAGCTTAAGTGATGGCTGTGAATCGTGGAAACACAACGCGAGTTACATAGTTGGTGTCGATGAGAACCCTCTGCGAGGAGGCACGGTCGTTTTATTTATTGCAGATACAGTATATCATACCGCTGAGCCCCCTTTTGAGCATATCTCCGCAACCACTTATCGGAAATGACCGTCGAAAGGAATGTATGATTGGTGTGGGTCATAGCTACACAACGCAATTTATTTTGTGCCAATTGAAACTCTGTGGGCTGAGATACGGGCGGTGACGTATATAAGAAATAACGCCACCGGTGACGTAAATAGAATTATCGTTACAAAATGGAGTTGTCGGGGTGGCTCTCCCTCACCCTTCGGGAGCGGGCATACTTCGCCCTTGGCTACGTTGCCCGGTAGAAGTTCACTCATACTCCGACATGCCCTTCAAAACATGCCCCGTTCAACTCAAACAACAACCACATCCAGCTATACCGTCGAGAGAAGGATTGGGCGTACGGGAGCTTGGCAAAAAGTTCGCTCGCGAGGCGGCACCGGGAGGCGTGGAGATGGAGGTGGAGAAGACGGAAGGCAACCACTGACTTTCGACGAGGTGGACGCTCCACTGAGGACCATTTCAGTCGACACCCTGAAGGAGGTCGCCGTCAACGGGCTTGCGCTTGTCTACAGGTAGAGAGTTAACGGGAAAGTATGTCCGGCGTAGGCAAGAAGGGGTTCCCTGTACGATGGCTGGCGTCATGTGTGTAATGCATAGTCTAGACCTCTCTCTTTCGCCCCCTTCCTTCCCCTCGAAACACGCACATCGTCATTTTGTTCCTGTACACCAGCCGCTCCGTCTTGAACCTCTTCTAATAGACTACCTTCCCTGCCGTCGCTTTTGTGGGCAGAGTGTACGCAGAAAACGTGCTCGGGGCTGGCGCTCCTTCGAAGGTCGTGGAAGTCAACCTGAGAGCGTTTCTGGGACACCTGCGAGCACAGGACGGGGGGGGGAGGGCGCTGAAAGTATCACACGAATTGCCAGCGGTAGCAGGACATCAACAACAAGTACCATCATCATCTCTCGACCCCCACGCTCTTCGTTCTTTGGGGTGTGGCGATGCCTTTGCTTGCACGAGTTCCCTTGCGGCCGGTTCCGCCGACGTCCCTCTTGTCTTGGATACTGATGATTCGTCGTGCTCAAAACCGCTCGGTGTTTTGACGGAGGGACGCGAAGCTCCTCAGCTGTCAGACCAGGAAGACAAGGGGAACAGAGGAAAGCCCGACGAATTACTCCGAGGAAAGGGCATGGAACAGGCACACACTGGCACGCAGGCGGCGGTGACTCAACGCCACGCTCCTCACCCCACAAAGGAAGACAAGTCGCCATTTTGCAGTTGTGCGCCATCTCCTTTGTCTCCTGCTTTCGGCGGCAACTTCATGGGACTAGAAGGGTTCGGGGAAGCACGAGTTCACAACCTGTTCGCGCCCCCGTCTTTGTCTCCGCGCCGAAGAAACCAACGTCGCCTACACGCGCACACTGCCGCACGAGTGCCAAGAGAGGGTCGTCAGCTTGATTGTGACGGGGTCGGTGGCGGCGGTGGTGGTGGACATGGGCCGTATCCCTTACCACCGCTCGTGCTCGTGTCGGGAATTTCCGGGAAGAGTCACAGTCTCAACGCCACCTCAGCGAATAGGCGGAAAGACGGGCGAGGAGACTGGGATGATCAACATGAACCTGTTGCTGCGAGGGGGGCGGAAGATTGGAGAGAATATGGTGGTGGAGGCAGGGACAGTGGTGGGACTAGCACCGCCAACAATGACGTGTTCCATGCGTTCATTAACCTTGGTAGGCGATTGCCGGGCCGCTTGCGCCGCCATGGGCAGGACAAGCAGAATTGATACAAAAGCCTCGAAAGAGCTCTCAAGTCCCCCCGAATGCGCAAAAGTTGTAGTGATCGGTAAAATGGTAACATAGTCTCGAAGACTCGCCTATTTCTTTGAGGTCGTCTCCATACCAACAAACCAAATACGGCACAACAAAAAACACGAGACGTCGACGTTGTTCCCCCGCAGATGTACTCCATTCCCTAGTTGTGGTCCGCGGACAATTTTTCAAGTTTGCGTGTAACCTCAACCGCTTCCTCAGCTACTTACAACCAACAATCTTCCTTCCAGCAGACATACTTAACGCAGCCATTGAGCTGAGCATCGGACTTCCGATTGGTGGAACAACGGAGCCAAAAGGGAAGGGCAAACTATAATCTGTTCCGAAAAACACCGTCGCCGTAGACAGTCACGCTGGAGGCAGTCCTTAACCAAAGTGCGTCCGTTACCAACGCTGGTAATACAAGAACTCGGCCGCCTTGGCGAGACCTACGGCACGGGAGAGATTGTGGTACACTGAGAGTCCAACTACGAAAGAAGCAAGTAAACGAGGCCGACTCTTTAGCCTGCACCTCTTTTCTCTCCCTGCGCGTGTGGCCACGCGTCGCCAACGCCAGTACCGCTACACGCCGAAATGAGCTTTAACCAGTGTCGGAACGAAAAAAACACAGATGCAAATTTAATAGGCAATGCAACTGGACGAAAAAACGAAACAAAATATGGAACCAACTACAAGGAAAACCCGAGAGCGAAGACTTTGCCAGCACATCACACAACGGACGGTCTCTCCCTAGAGTTAGTAGTCGTCAATCTACCTTGGTCCTAAAGCCTTCGAGATAGCAGGTACGTTTACCCCTGCCGACGTCATCGAAGCTCCACGGCAAGAACTTCTCAATAGATCATCTCTGGGTCCTTGTCCTCATTTATTTTTTCGTCTAGAAACGACGAAACGCAGAAAACTACTTCGTGCAAAATAGGCTTAAAATACGCACCAAACTTACACATCTTTGAAACCCTCCACATCCTCTCACTAGAGCACCAAGGCGACAAGTCGCCCAGACGGCAAGTCGCCAAGAGGCCTATGTTGAAACACCCAAGGCTCTAACGTGAAAATATGGCACGAACTCCCACCGTGGCTTTCCCCTGCGTTTAACAACACAGAACCCAGACAGTAATCTAGTCGTCGATGTGGGATTACAACCATACATGGCCGGGCTACGTTCTCTCTAAATGACTTTCCCCGTCGTCGTCACTAAAACCCTGACCACATCGTCAGCCATGACCACTAGTGGCGTGTTCTCGGTGAAAGAGATGGTCCCTCTCCTCACTTGATTGCTCTCGCGTATCACAATCAGCAGCTGCTCTCGATCTGCCACTTGAGGTACTTGATCCTTTCCTGCGTGCGGTTAACCTTGGCGGCGTCGCCGGTGTACATCGCTTTGGTGCGGAGGCGCGCCAGACGCCTGAGCTCCGTCATCTTCGTCGGGGGTAAGTACCACGCACAGGAGTGATTCAAGAATGTGTGAGAATTTCCGCGTTGATCACAAACCTTCCGCTTCGCGAGTGAGACGCACGAAATATGGAGCTTCGGCTGTCGGTGGTTTAGGCCAATCAAGGTACTTGTAGATCAAATTTTCATGTTGCCTTCAGACAGTTGCTAGTGATCGGCGCGCATCGCTCGTTCCTTCCCACTCATGTGTTTCCCCCCTTAATTGTTGTTGGCCTCTTTACTTGTACCTGCTCTGCCGAAGCGCCGACCATGGGCACGCTGAAGTCGTCGTCGTCATCATCGTCGTCGTCCTCGTCGTCCTCGTCGTCCCCAGCTGAAACATGGAGACGGAAGTCATCGCATCACATGATGCGCATGGAAAGGGCAATGGAGAACGGCGACTAAGCGAGGAGATTGTGATAACTATGCCGAGCACGACAGGATTCGTTGCTTTCGGGGAATCTTTCCAGTAACATGACTCAGGGTTGTTCGTTGCTGCCTGGACAACCACCGCCACCACGGATGCTGGGCATGTCCATATCTTGATATCTGTTGAGACTCGACAAAACAGACAAGAAAAAGACGATGTTTCTTCCGGTGCTTACCATACGACGGGGGAGGGGCCCGTGTGTGGTTCTGCGGGGGTGGCGCTTGGTGACCCTGAGCCTGGGCCATCATTCCCCTGCCTAGCATTCCCATGCTGGCCATCAGGCTTGACATTGGGTCGACCGGGGGAGCGCTCGACACGTAGAACACTTGGGGGGGGGG